CAGTATGTACCACACATCAAATTAAGGACATGGAAAGAGCAAAATCTAAATATAAAGAAAGGAGGAAACTGAAAAAAGAAGTTTCCAGAACTGTTAGGAGAAGGCTTAAATTAAACAGACAATGTTTGGTAAGACTTTAGTTTGTTAAAAGTGTATGCTCAAAACATATTTGATAACAAATTGTGGTTTTTGTTATCTGTAAAGCCAAGTTTCTATAAAATCGCTACATTGTTGCTACAGTGTTTTACAATGGTTACACTGCGTACATTTCAAAATCAGAAGGCTCCCCAATTTGACCGAACATTCAGCATTGCCAAAAGCTGTTGGCAATAGTGTGTAGCGATTTTATGAAAACCAGGCTTAGAATAAAAAGTCTGATGAAACATTGTCTGGGTCTGATAGACAAAATATCATAATGTCTGTTTATATCCCCTGTTGGATGTACAGGATAGTAAATTCTGGAGACCCTCAAATACGATAACTGTTTTAAAATGTTTCAGGGCTTGGGATATACTTTTATATTAATAAATGAAAAAAACAAATCCAGAGAATGGAAAAATTCAAATGTGAGTAAAGGATATATAATACTGTATTACACAAAACAGACAAAAAATTTGCATATCACTTTAAACAGACAATTTTATTATGTTCTTTATGAAAAGTGCAAAGGTTGTAGACTTTGACATAAGTTTAATGAACTTATTGATCATGCATTGGTTTAATTATGTGATCTTGCTGACATCAACTAGCAATGAAGTAATATCCCACAATGCTTTGCAAACATTCAGTATCCCAGAAGGTGGGAGTTGGGAAGGGGTAGGCAAATTTGTTAACCTTAAGATTCCGTGTTTTCATTGTTTTTGCCTTGATTTGCTGGCTGCTCTGAAAACATACATAAAAATCTTATGGATTTCTGTAATCTGTTAATGTGAAATTTTAAAATAAAATAAATTTCTACAGAAAATCCAGAGGTCTGGGAATTAATTCAGAAATCAAATTAACCATAAGAGTGAAAGTGAAGAAGCTACAATGTCACAGTGAGGTTAATACAGTTTGTGAGCTTGTTGAGTTAATAATTAGAGAAGAAATATTATGTAAACTGCATAGCAAATAGCTGATAGAAAAGCAATAGCATCATGGCATAACATGGGATGGTAGAACGACAAGAACCATTGTAAGGATATGGACATTATATGAACTTTGACATTATTTTGAATTACTAATATATGTCAAAGATTTAAGTTCGGATTCAAATTATTGAATGAAGGAATAATTTTAATTAATGATATGTTTATGTTAGTACTGCAATGAATATGATTTTGAATGGAGTTTATAATTAGCAGTTACTAAATTTGGCCACAAATTATTAAGAACATGGCAACACGAGACACACACGTTCACTTACAGCCTTTTCTCCGTTGTTTGCAGTAGTGCCCTCGAAACTGATAGACCGTGCAAAACTACTCATCCCGGCACTTGGCTTATTGTAGCTCCCCGATGAGGTGAAGCGTCCGCTCTCGGAAAGCAGCATTCCTGAGTTGCTGCTTAAACTTCCTGAGCTAGTGAAACTGTTACCTCGCAAATGCGTCATGTCTACGGATTCACCTGAAGCAAAACCGCTGTCCACACGAGTTGAGCTATAAGAATTAGTAGAAGGTAGTTCCTCGCCCCCTGTGGGAAAAACATCCCTCTCTTCTAAACTGTGATCCTGGTGAGGGTCGTCTTGAGTCTTTTTTGTCTCAACTTCCACACAATCTTGAAGCTCAGCCTTCGTGAATGCATCTTCAAAACAGCCTTGACAATTTTCCTGTGTAGGTGTGAAATCATTGTCCAGACAAGCCGGCTGTTTATCCTCTTCCAAATTGTCAAATGGATTTGGAGGTGTAACCTTATCAAATGGGTTAGTCCTTCTTTTTGGTGGTGTCTCAGTTAAAAAGAATATATCACTATCATCGTGCATTGGATCCACCACTTTTTGCGTGCCCGGATGAGTGTAGCGTTTAAAAGGATTAGACGAGTTGGATTTAATAGCGCCATTTGAGTGAAAGTCCCCATTGCTTAACTCATATAGGGGATTTGTCACCCCGATAGGTCCACGTTGCCCCCTCTCATCATAAAATTGTGAAGTAATTATAAATTTTTGCTTGGGCCTAGCTCCCAATGGAAGAGTGTTAGACTGTTTTACTGAAACAGATGATTGTTGGTTGTAAGCAGGGATGTTGCTTGCCAACGGATCAAAATCTACTAACAGTGAATCAAGTTTGGATTCAGAGCTTGACGTTTCCAGCTGATTTGATGGAAGAGATAGTTTGTTATCGCCCTGCAGCTGGTAAAAATGGTCCACAACAACCGTTGAAGGCCGTTTATCATGGGAGGACAAGGCATTCTGTAACTCAAAGCTCCTACTTTCCTGATCAGTTAAATGCATTGAAAATGATGCCATTCCAAAATCATCCAATGAGTTAAACTCTTGTTGTTGATTGACATGTGTCTGGGCAGCACCCTTCACCACATGTGGCTCATGTGATTGGTCAGTTTGACCAACATGCTCCTCAAGATTGCTGTCTGTTTGTTCCTGTGCCTAATAGAACCAATGGACAAAATATCTCCACTTCAGTTATTTTTCAAATTTTTGATTAGTTCACGATTACTTAATTTGATTAAATCTGCATATTATTTTAAGAAAAAATATTTCACAGAGAGTTAATAATCTACATAAAATTTATAAAATGTGAATAAAATCTACAGATTATCATTAAGAAGTACAGTATACAGTGTTTGCAAAAAGGAAGTGCTTAAGTATATGGTACATGAAACGATAAAATCTAATAACAAAAAGGTAGCAAGGAAGTACAAAGGAAAGGTTAAGGATTTTTTTATCCAGTAATTAAAATCAGTATCAAAATGTGTGCAGCATGTAATGGAATGAAAAACATTGAAAACATTAAACTGATAATGCGGTATGCCAAACACTCAAGCAGTTGACTGACATCTTCAGAAAAATAGAAGTGCAAAATAAAGGAGTGAAAACATTCAAGTGCAATTCAACGAGCTAACATCACAATTGCATTACACCAACATTCTACCAATCAGCAAAAGACCCCGCGCTACATCACATCCAATAAATGGATGGAGAGCTCAGCATGATTGAATTTTAATCAGGCATGTTAATTAAAGGGAATGTGATGCATCACATCCAATAAATGGATGAAGAGCTCAGTATGTTTGAATTTTAATCAGGCATGTTAATTGAAGGCCATGTGATGCATCACAACCAATAAATGGATGAAGAGCTCAGCATGTTTACAGTTTCATCAGGCATGTTAATTAGAAGCCATGTGATGCATCATATCCAATAAATGGATGGAGAGCTCAGCATGCTTACATTTTAATCAGGCATGATAATTAGAGGCCATGTGATACATCACATCCAATTGCAAGATGTATAGGAAGAGATCTGAATGTTTATATCTATTACAAACATGTTAATGAGATCATGTAATACATCCCAATCTAATCACAACATGATGAATTCAGAAAGCATGGTAAATTGAGGTCGTTTGGTACATCACATTCAGTCACAAAAAAAGAACATTAAAGATGTATATATTTGACATGGTGAGAGCTATTTGACATGGAATTGTTATATTTTCAAAAGGTATGGAATCTATGGAGTCTACTGTATACGATAAAGCAACTATTGCAACGGCCATTAACCACTGACAGGCATAGATTGATGAATGCAAGCTCCAACGTAATTGTGATGTCAACTCATTAAAATAAACATTTTTTAATGATAATCTTTATCAATAATAAATCAACTATATAATTTTTATTAAAATCCCAAAGATGACCACATAAATATTAAGAAATACAAACACTTTCCAAGCGCATTGTTCGTATACAAAGTTGAATATTGAATTCTTCAATTATATGTCGCTTGCCCAACCTACTTTCCCATTTCACTTGCCCACTTACCTGATCCTTCTTTGGATTATCCTCTCCACTTGGGCTATCATTATTTGAACTTCGACCTATACTTTGACTGCCGTATGAACTACGACGTGAACTCTGACCCTCACTTGCCTTTGATGACATTTGTTCACTTTCTTCCTCCAATAATTGTAAACCTTGTGAAAACAAAAATTAACGGAAATGGAAAAAAAAATATTTTAATTGAATAATAATAATTATTATTCTTACCACTTAATATTCAAAATTAAAAACCAAAAATATGAATTTTTAAAAATAAATATCTAGGGTCAGCATTTTTGCACAAAAATTTAATTTTTTCTGCAAGAAGCAACCTAAATACTTTCATTGATAAAAAAAAAAGAATTAGATTGACCTAAGAAACTCATTTGTGGTATCAAAAGTATCTTTGGATGAGTTACAATTTACAATTATTGTCTGTTTCTAGTCAGAATAAAAGGTGAGTTTTCTTGCCTACCTGTAACCTCCGGAGCATCAGCAACCTCAATCAGCCTATCGTCCAGCGCTTCTGAATCACTCTGTAATACATCAACACTCCAGGTCTCGCTCGTTGTTTCTGAAATCTCCATAATGCTTTCTGGGAGCCTAGCAACAGCCCCAAGGGCGCTATACTCTAGGTCTGACTCGGAAATTTCCTGAAGCCTTTCAGTTGGGTTTGCTTCTGATGGTTCTGAGTTATCACTTTCAATTACATCTGTACTCCATGTATCACTAAAGGTTTCTGCATCAAAAATGAGATGGAATCTATATTTACACAACACACATAATTTCCTAAATATTTTTGTCAAATTTTATCAATTTTCTATATAATTTTCTTAATATTTCATCTTAATTTCTAACTATTTTCTATCTCTATTGCACATTTTTTAACATATCTTTAAATACTCACCGCCTGAAAGGCCATGCATTTTTTTGTTCTCAAGTTCGTCCCCAATCTCAAACTTTCCAAATCTATCCGTGATATTGGCATTGTTTGGCAGCTGCGTGGAATCAATCAGATCTGGACGTGGGTTATCCGTCGTACTACTGGCCAGGCTGATGGCAGAGCGTGGTGTGTTACGACCACTTATGTTACTGGTGTTTTCATTATCATAATCAATGGAATATACTGAATTTGATGCACCTGGGGGAAAAATAAAGACAGAAAAACATTTGAAGTATGTTTTATAGTACTGTATATTCTTGTGTATAAGGCGATCCACGTATAAGAGAACCCCAGAGTTGGAGAAGATTTGTGGATAATTTTTGTATGTCCGGGATATAAGATGACTCCCATATTTCACCATCGGAATTTATCCTTTCGATACGATCCACTGATACCAAGCCTGCATTTAGCTTTAAAATTGCTATACAAGTCCAGGGTCTAGGCTTGGTAAAGTTCATGGATTTCATTGCATCAGACATAAAAATAATTATTTTTAACTGACAAATTAAACAACCATCATCTTTATGATATTCATTTCTGGCATATAAAACATACATGGTGCCCATACTAACAGTCAGATTCATTTCAGTGATAGATTTGCATGTTAAGGACGATCTGCACTTAAGACGAACATGATTTTAAAAATCCAAAAATTTGTACTGTATGTTGTGCGAAGACGACCCACCCCTACCGCCCCCCACCCACCAATTTTTCAATTATAATTTTATATTTTATGCCTCGTCTTATACGCGAAAATATTATATGGCAAGTATTTCAACTGTATCAACATAGCTGTAAGCTCACTTGATAAAGAAAATGTATGGCAGAGACCAAAGAAGTAGGGGGATCTTTGGATAGAGAAAAATTTGCACAAATAAACTTTCAGAAACACAAACTTACCAATTGACATTGCTTCCATTAGGTGATCATTGGTAACAGACGCCTCAGCTGAGAATCTCAGTTGTTTCTCTGGGTGCTCGTTGATCGATCCCAGATTTGCACGTTTGTCCTCACTTTGGGATTTTGATTTCGTTGGCAAGGAACTTAACACCTATTATAAAAAAAACAGATGATAATAATAATACCATAAACATAAAAAATATTACTGAAAATAGACCATATAAAACTGATATTTTTTTTCTTCTGAATTATAATTTATTTTATGTTTTGAGTGTTGGAATGACATGCCTTGTGGCCAATTTTGCCACTCCATGGTGCACCAATACATAGTTGTCTGTTGTTTTTGTCTGTTTTGCCAGAAATTATATAAAATAACAAAATTTGGGCACAATTGACATACCTTACTTTCCGAGAGCATCCCAGGGCATTCATTAGGATGGTTACCCAGTGAGATAACAAGAACATCCTCTGGTTGTGTAACCATGCACGTATCACTAGGAGGTGATGAGCTCTCAGATTCCTGATCTTCTTGAAGTCTTTTCTTGGCAACTAAAGAAAGTGGGAAAGAGTTTATTCAATCATTTGTATAGATTGTTACTAAATATAATTTTATGTTTTTGAACAGATGCATAACATTAATGTAATAAAACAAATTTTGACATTAACATATTGCATCATTAATTACAAACAATTCTACATTATGACCATCAGTGAAAAATGTATTTGCTTTGATCTTTGTTTTAATGATATTTAATAAGGTGTTTTAAATAAATTACCTAATGTTTTGATTAATTTCCTTGAGGCTTTTCATTATATTTATGATAATTTTAATAATATTTTTTTGTTATCTATAATTTAAAAAAATATGCATTGTACAAGATATTAAAATGTGTATTCATTATTAAAATATAAATCATACATTTCAAGTTGGTTCACGATACTGTAGATGAGGTCATGTAAGATGAAAATGAGAAGCTTACAACTGATCACATCTCGTGCTTTCTCATTAGGGAGCTTTTGATTGCACGATGACTGTAGGACGTAGAACGTAATGACGTCACTAAAAGTCATCTGCGCATGCAAGAACGTTAAGGTCACCTCGTCGGCTACATTCTGGAACGCAATTTGGTCAAATCTACATATGCAGACTGAGACAACTTAGGACGCCCAGTCACGCATGAGTGATTCAATTCTAGCGTCGCGTTGTCGCACAAATCGAAAGCTCTCTATTGTCTATTTCTGTACAGAAACATATTCAATTGGAGAGTAACTATACTGTCAAATCAAAGAGTCAACATAGACTGGTCACATGCCTGCTATCTGATTCTAGGGTTCCAATCATGCACATTTAAAGTTTTTTCATGACTTATTAAAAAAAAGTTAAACTTAAGGAGCAACATACTGTACCATCCTGTAAATAGCAAATGTGGTATTGGATGTGAAATAAAATATAAGTCATATAAATACAGTATATAATAAATGCTTGATTGGATGAATATATATATAGAGCTGCCTCAAAGAGATGCAATAAAAATGTGCTAAGACATATTTCTGAGGCATTGTGGGTTGACTCAAGACCCACCACACTCTCAGCAAATAAAATAAATCTTGGAGACTTTGGTGTACCTTTAATGGCTTTGCTACCTTTTCTCGAGATGGATCCTGGGGTCCCTGGGGGCGTGGTCCCAGGAGTGTTCCCCGAACTTGTGCTAATAGATGGAGCAGACAGGTTGGCTGGATTTGGTAAGACTGACAGCGCTACTTCTAAGTCTTTCAACTCTGGGTTGCCCTGGTTAGCTGTGAGACTTGATCGGAAGTATGCAACCTGAAATTGTCAACAGTTTGATGGTACTGTTAGTATGTTTTTCTATTAGAGAGAAAACAAAGCACTTAATATGAGCTTTGCAATATTAAATATACTAGTAGTAAATTTATGAATATGATACCTACTGTATGTTTCAATTGTGTAGATATTAACCAATGAAATAATAATCCTTTTTAATACAATATATATTTATAACAGTCAGATTGGAATACAGTATAATGTCATGAAGACGAACAAATAAAGACTGCTTCAGTCTTTTGGAAATTGTTCCATATTATCTTTTATCAAACTTATCAGTATTCCCCATGATGTAATTTGAATGTAGTCAGCCTTTAATTCATATTCAGCTTAGATTCATTACATAATTTTCATTCATAATTATAATGTATCATATTTTAAATTTTATTATCCTCCAGATACTACTAGTATGGCACGCATATTTCTTGTTTGCTGGATTTTTTTACAATATTCAGTAGCCATGCTTTCATATGTTGATTAACCTATAGCAATGAAAAAAATTAAGCATATTTTAAAAAATAATTAAGTAGTTGATGTTTATTTGAATTTTCTGTTTTATGTTCAGATTTTGTCATAAGCTGTCATAATCCAAACATAGCAAATAATCCTAATTAATTATAATTAATTATTAATCCAAGTGAAATTAATTACCAAGTTGTGTAATTCACTCTCACAGATAAGTGCCACAGAGCGTGTCATTCCTTGGAGTTGGTTGTTGTTTATTGCCGGGTTAGCGTTCGTTGAATGACTGTCTATTACTGTATCCAAATAGGACGACATGCATCCCTAGAGAAACGATAACATCAATTACATACGTAAACCATTTATTAACGATGACATTTAAACTCAACATATACTGGGATATTACATGATAATGCTGCCATCAAAGTTCTGATTAATTACAATGAGTGTACAGTATGTATGCAAAACATAAATGTATATGCGTGTGGCATCTACTTGCAAAGGATTAAATGCTCATGCTTAAACTCATGAATATTCATAAGTCATGTGGTCACTCATAATGACATCAAGTACTGTAGTCCTACAGTTTAAGTGATACTTAAAGCTACAGTAAGTAACAAAACATAAATGTAAATTTTTCATCAATAATTTAAACATACTGTACCCTACAATTAAAATATGTGCAAATAATTTATTATACTGCTACTAATAAAAAAAAATATTGATGTTACAGTACAGTACTGTTCACAGAAGCCCAGTAACTTATCATAATAAACCTTATTATAAATTCTCTATATTATTAAAAAAAAATAATCTCAACTTTATTCCAGTATAAGCTAATACAGTAAGTGGGTAATATTTCTTACAAAATACTGTAGCTAATACTTTACATTACATAGCCAATTTAATCATAAATATGATACTTGTATATTAGTTTACAGTATATATTTTTTATTATATTTTATTTCCATACGAACTATTAACAGAGTTAAAAACCGCCAATTAAAAGTTGACATCAGATAAATATATTATAAAAAACACAAAAAAATATATAAAATATATACTGTATAAATAAAATAATTAATACATTATTAGCTAAAAAAAATGTCAATATCAGTAATACAGAACTTATTATACTGTAGGTATCTCACAATTTATGCTTTTTTAGACCTCTATGGGTATAAACATTAAGACATCCAAAGAGTGGATTTAAAAGCCATTGCTGCTAGGCTGAGGTGGTCTGGATGTGTAAAAGCCCCTTCCATAGCCACTCTTCCTATTGGAAAAATCATTATGTATTAATTTTATGTATTTTTCTAAAGAAAAAAATTTTCATACCAATACAGTATGATATGCCTCTCTCATAATCACCATTGTTTAATTCCCCTCATTTGCATATATTGTAGCATTTTTTGTAATCATCAGTGTCTAAGTTTTATCATTCCTGAAGATGACCCAATAACGGTCGAAACGTCAAATCATGGCCTCCCTTTCTTTATTCGGAGTAATGTTCGTTCTATGTCAATCTGACATGAATAACAGAATATTTGATTTGATTTTATATTTTATTTTTCAGCTACTGTACTTTCCTCCAATGTTTTTGTAAACTCTTAATTGAATGTACATTTTTGTATTTCTAAATTGGCAATTCAGAAGCAGGTCAACTCGGCCCCAAGTCAACTCGGCCCCAGTCAACTCGGCCCCAAATCAAGTCGGCCCCAAGTAGTCAACTTGGCTCCAAGTAGTCAACTCGGCTCTAAGT